CAGTGGGCTACACTTGTGTAGTAGATAAAGTCATATGACATCTGTATGACCTACTGTGAACACCTGGTTGGTGCGTGGAAAAGGGTTGTTCTGGCCTGATGTGATGTGTGATTCAGCTTCTGGGCTAGACATTACTGTGGCTAGTGGATGTTCCTATGGATTCAGTAGGCCTTTGTTGATTAAGGGCTGGAGAAGCTTTGAGCACGTTGAAGAGAAGCAATGTGAATCTCTTTCTCTGGGTCTAGCATCTCTTCCAAGCTACTGAAAACACAGAAAAGGCACAGGAGAATTTCCCAGACCTTCAAAGCCCTGGGCATGGGACTAACTGTCATCGTGCTGTCTAATGACATTGTCATAAAAAAGTGAGACTAACCAAACCAGATCAATCCAGAGTTCCTGCTACCCAAGTGCCCTGTCTCCAAAAGTGACTCACAATTAGAAAGAAACAAGAATAAAACCAGACTTGTGGTATTAATTCCTCAAAATGTTCCTCCAGCTTCCAGCATGCTGTGTGGCAGGTGAGGGAGTGCATTGAGGTGGAGAGAGAAGTTTAAATTTCCCTCATGCTGCTTTCCACCCACGCGAGACATAGTTTTATCCCATATTGCAAAAATATCACAAAAGGCACAGGGAAGTGGCAGCTATTTTGACCTGTGACATTCCTGAAACTAGGGATGGATGATGACACTGATGAATAAGGGCCAAAAAATGTTCCAGGATTTTCTAAAGAGAAGAATGAGATGCATAAATCAGGAGGTATTGTCCCATGATGGTCTTTTCATATTAATGTCTTCTACTGCTGCTTTGAAAATATGAACTGACCTCATATATTTCCTCAAAGTAAGTAAGCTTCAGGTGCTATAGGAGTTTACAGGTGCTGATAACCAACACATGTAAACAGTGATAATTCATTAATAAGTGGTATTTGTCAGAATTTTGCAAATGTCTCAGTTACTGCAGTTCCTCTCTGCACTTAGACTAGAAAATAACTATGGTGACCGTGGCCTCTGTTGTCAAACACTGATTTTTGGAGTACTGCCTCTTGTGCATTGGCGTCTGCAGAGCACATATCTATATGTGCTCCCTGTAATAAATAAGCAGGGAAACAACTTAGAGAAAACATTCCAGTCAGGACTGCAAAGTTCATGACCATTAATTTTTCCTCCTCAAATATTTCGTGCATCAAAAATTGAATGAAGTGATGACCCAAAGGGGAGGGCTTTTGAAAAGCTTATCAGGAATAAATATTTAGAAAACTTTGCTACTATAGCATAATTCCTGACAAGTTTATGTTAAAAAACTCTTGCTTTATACTATCTTCCAGCCCAGAACTTGCACAAAAATGGACATTTGGAGTGGCTTCATCTGAAGCATATTCAGGCTTCCATATGTGTTTCTAATGTTTCCCTAGATACCACTTTGAACTATTTAGGAAATCTCAAGGGCAGTGTTTGTTTAAGATTGGTGAACAGAATGTCACTGCAGCCTGGGAACTACACAAGCAAAAGAGAAATATTGTCCTCATGAAATATGCTGTGGATGCCTTGAATTGCTTTGTATTATAGCTGATGCTAAAATTAGCATTGAAGTGTTATTTTTGTGGGAGCACAGGGAGTGTCCTGTAGCACAAGCAGAGCTCCAGTGGCAACACCCAGGCCTGGACAGGATGGGAGCTCCCACTGTTCTCCTGCCTGGAAATGCCACGTTTCTCTTACATTTCTCAATTTAAAAAAAGTATTACTTTCCCCCTGTGCTGAAAATATAAAGTGCTTCAATTTTTTTTTTCTTTGAGCACATGAAAAAGTCATCATTATTTTTCTGTGTTTTAATGCTTTTGTCCTTGCAAACCATATTGTGAGTAAACACCTTTCACATGAGCAGGGACACTTCACATGGATCAAAAGAGGCTTTGCGTTTTTATTTTTACCTTCCAACAAGGGCTTGTTATTAACTCTTCACAGGATTATGTGAGTTAAATAGAGACAAACAATGTTTTCTTGCAGGTTGTCATGACTGTTTATTTGTTCATGTTTTGTCATTCTAAAATAAAGAAAATTGTAGCTAGAACTTTCAGCCCAAAGGCATGTTCCTACTTCTAGCTGTGCTCCAGCCCTCCTATGGTCACATGTCCTCAGAGTCACTGGGAATGTGGAAACAGATTTTTTACTTAAGGAAACAGGAAAATGATCAGGAGAAGCTTGATTATGCTCCCTGCATTTTTATACATGAAAAAGAACAGGACAAAAAATGCAACCATAGCTTTGCCCATTGTCTGGAAACTAATAATAAATGGCTAGCTTTATACTTCAGGCATCCCAGTCATGTTTCCAGTTCCTTCTTTCTCCGGTTTTACTCACAGACTTAGGTAGGAGCAGGGCTGGCCCCCCATTATACCTATTTACCTGCTTTTACATCCTCTGTATCCATGTTCTCCTGTTCAGTTCTGTAATCTCTCCTGTGTGGGCAGACACATTTTCATTATTACTGGTCAGGATTGGTCGTGCTACGAAGTCAGCTTCAGATCAGCCCTGCTCTTGGGTCTCAGGCTCTTTCTGGGCAGAGAGTATATACGGTGTAGAGAACCCAGTCAGAGCAGGGCATACTCTTCAGAGGGAGCAGGTAGCCATCACTGTGCCACATTAATTCAGAGCATGCCAGGGAAAACAGAAGTATTTGCTAAGGAGAATGTTTGTGAACCACTTTGAGACATCGCGTGTAGAGTAGAGCAAATCTTGCTCAGGATTTTAATCCCTTTTACCAACATGTTGCTCTGTCCTTATCGCAGGTAGCAGCAGATGTAGCTGGGCTTGCAAAGTGAATGAAAAGTGAATGAAAAATCGGTTAAGAAGAACCTGAGCGTTTTTCAGTATAGATTATAGTATTTACATATCTCCAATAATGCAGCAGAAGTCAAGCAGCCAAGCAGAAGATCCTTCCTTTCAGGAACCTCCCCTTAGCATTATACTGCTGCAGGAAAACAGCTTTCACTTAAAAATCACTTTGAGTAAGAGATGTTTTGAATCACATGCACGCAGAAAAGCTCTGATGCATTTTCAACTACATTTTAAAATTCTGCCCTTCCCCTTGGCCCCCCGAAACTGTCTATTCCTCTTGTCTGACAGAGGCTGCCACTAGCACTCCACACACGCATGTCAGGTCCAACCTGCTTGCGCCTACTACAAATACACAGATGCTGTCTGGAGGCAGCAGCACACAATAGGTCTGCTTTTTGTGCTGCTAGGTCTCCACAGGTTGCGCAAATATTTGCTCTGCAGTATCATGGCACTCTCTATGTTTCTTCTCTGAATAGGCCCAAAATTCTTAAATTGAGGTCAAGTGAAACTGCCATTTTTCAGGTGGTTTTGCGCTGAAATCTCATCAAGATACATCATCACTATTTCACAGAGCATTGCAGTACATTTAGAAGAACTAAAAAGGGCAGTAAGGCTTCATCAAACTGTGATATTTAGAGCCACTTTGCACTGAATGGTGGATCCAGAGCTCTTGTACATTAAAGTGAGCTAAAATACATACTGCCCATAATAATTCATCAATATTTCCAAGAAATGCTTTTTCATCCCACACCATTTAACTTAAAGATGTGAAACCATCAGATGAGGTCCCGACTCACCTTCATTCCTGTCAGTCCAAACACCTGACTGCAGAGCCAGTCATCTTCCCTTCCTAGAGCAGGACTGGGGCCACAGCTGAAACTCAGGCTTGAAATTAATGTTACGGGAGAGTATTACATGGGAGGAAGTGTTGCCGATGACAAGCTACAGTTATGTTTACTGAAGCACCGGGACTGGAAACAATTACAGAAAAGCACAAGATTAGCAGCACAGAGTGGTCTGATTAGCACTTGCCAGGCTGCTGTAGCTCAAAGATGCTAAATCCCCCCTCTATCCACAGTACAAACCCAACTGTCAGTAACTTGACTTAAGGCTGTCCACTCCTATCACCTCAGGTGAGCTCAGAGTCTGTCTGCTTTGGTTGCTCTGAGGCAAACCTACATTTCAATTACAATGGTTGTATTTTTCGTAAACCCTTAAATTTTTGCTCACAAACCTCAATCCCTCTTTTCAGCAGTGACTCTCTGAGCAGAGCTCATGAAGGCTTTAAAATCCTCCTGAAAACAGAATATATATGTTAAGGCATTGGTAGAGCACTGATTATCAGTAACATTATTATTCTAGTTGCTGAATAATAATGCTTTAGAAGCATTAGGTGACACATCTGTAAAATAATTTGATTTTTCTTTAGAGAGGGCTGTCATAAGTAGAAAAAAATCTGTCATATTAAATAGAGACATAGAGTGAGAGCAATGAACACTTTAAGAAAACAGAAACACAGGTAAAGATGGGACAGTACACTGCCTTTTTTTATTTTTTTAATCAAACAAACAGACAAAAAGGAAAGAAAACAAACCTACACAAAGCTCATCTTGAAAGATGTCCTGAACTGCTAATACCTCAAGACACATGTTGGTGATTCAGGCTTGTGTTGACATTTGAATCAGGACAGGAGTAAGGGTCACATTTCAGTTATGTCTTTATCCATTTGGGATCACTGAAGACTGATGCTGTGGTTCAGCACTGTTAGGTTGTGCTTTCAAAGGGGCAGTGTTGGTATAGTGGAGTTGTACACAATGGCTCAAACTGGGCAGCAAAGCAGATGCAGTATAGCCAGGAGACAACAGTTAGGCAACCCTTGCTGGGCCAAACTGCATTTTGAGGTAATTATAACAGGGTTTTTTTTCTCCAGATGAATTAAAATCTCCCATTTGTATTTATTCAGTAGGCCCAGCAACCTGCTGTTGAAGAGAGGATCAGAAGACGATAGCAGCTGGATTCTTTCCCCATCCCACACTACACACTGCTCCAAGCTACACTCAGTCACACACTCTGGGATAGATTCAAGTTTCAGTGTGACTTCTGGTTTCTGACACTGCGGACTGTGGCAACTGGCTGGTACTTTTCATCCATCTGCTGCAAGTATCAGTAAGGATTTCTTGTCTGGAACCACTTCCTTGTTTGTATTCCACACAAGGATTTACAGCAGACTACAAGAAATAAAGAAAGAGATAAATAGGTAGGAAGAAGAAGGGGGAAGGCAGAAAAAAAGAGTGAAAAATGATTCAGAAATGTGTCTGTTCTTTCCGTTCAAGCCACTGTACAGAAACTATGATTCCATTGTGGGACAAAGACCTTTGAGCACAGTGAGATGTGTTTATGCTGCTCCTATCAAAGAGCCTTTCATCTCTACAAAGCAAATTATTAACACATTCCACTGAAGATGTGGGGGTGGAGGCCTGGCCTTGGAAAAAAAGCTGGCGAAAAATGAACAATTTTTTTATAAACACTTTTAATGATAGTGAATGGCGCCTTGCCAAGACCTTCATGCCCAGTGAAGCACTGCAGGCTGATTGTTTGTCTGGAGAAGTCTCGTGGGCTGAGTCTTTTGTGCTGAGGAATTTCTCATTTGAAAGGCAGTGGTGTGGGAGGTATGGGCTTTCCAGGTTCATCGAGTTAAGGCTTGTGCTGCCTTAAACCTGCACCAGAGACTAATTTATGTTGGGTGAATGAACACCCGCCTCTATTTCAGGCAGTAAATCTTGTTCTTTCAGAAGAAACTCAAAACAAGAGGAGTAACCCACACAAAATATGCAGAACAGCTCTATTAATAAACTACTTCCCATGCATTCCCAGCATCCTGCACAGATTTCTGGATACCTAGAAAAATTTTTGCTTACAACAGGAAGCAAATGAATGAGTAAATATTTTATGGTTTCTCCCTTAAGGGGTGGATCAATATTATCTTCCCTAGAAACAAAGCTTATTTTTAGTAAATGAAGACCTGAAGTCAGTTTAACAATAAATCTGATAAGAATAGCTTTTATTTTTCTCACTAGTTTTTTTTTCTGTTTCATTTGAAAATAATGCCATTATTTGCATTAGATTCATATTTCTTCTTTATATATATATATATGTGTGTGTGTGTGTATATATATATAAATAAATTGCAATGAGCTTGATGGGTTTGTATGATTCAAAGGACAGCTGCTGTCCTTGGAAGACAATATGTTTCTTCTAGGGCAGCATTTAAGTAGAGCTCAAGAGACTTCCTGTAAGGGGAGCACCCAGGCTCTTTTGCTCTGAAGATTTGACCTTTGGGCAGTTATGGATCCCAGGGTGGAATGGGAGTTTCTATGTGCTTTAGTTGCTATGTGCTTGTGCATCTCTGATGTTTATGTCTTTGTGTTAGCTGATTCCCAGTTGAGATACTTAAGAAGACCCTTCTTCAAATATTTTTCCCAAGATGCAAATGTTCATATTCAACACTGGGCAGTAGCTCTAGAGTTTAAACAAACTCACTTGCCCATTCCAGTTTACAGTGCACAGCTGAGATGATAAAAAATTTCAGCATCCTGCTGTAAAAACAGGCATTTCATGATTGAGAAAGGAATCAGAACTGGGTGGAAGAAAAACATGTCCAATTTCTGGAAGATATGAATATTAAAAAAAATTATTCTTGTTCTGATCTCCAACAAAACCAAGAGTTAAAAAGTAGTCTCCAAAAAGAGGGAAGATACTAGTTTATAGCACTACAGTACAGAGGCTGCAGGAGCCCCATAGTCTTAACTTGAAGGCAACTGAGACCTAAGGACTTAACAAATCCTGAGAAATGCCAATGGCTCATCAGCTGGGAAGACAGAACTCCTGGGTCCTTGGTCACCCTTTGGCCTAGGTGGACAGATGAAGAGAAATCAGGAAAAATGTCTACAGAAAAATCACCATGTTGTTGGAACTGTTGCATTTTTATGCAAGTTGGCAATTTCAAATAAAAAAATTCTTCTCCAAAATTTTTCAGCAATCTTGATTTGAGTGAGCACTGAGTTAGATGCAGCCTAGCAATACACCAAGGGTTGGTAAACCAGCATAATGTTTCATACACAAAGGTATTCTGGTCCCTAGACAAAACCAGTTTCACTCAATGAGTTTTTCTCTGTCTGTACACATGCACACAGATATATAACACAGGTACCCTCTCTGTACATTGCTATGATATTGATAAATTCAAGACTTCATTATTTTTGAAGCCTACACGGGAAGGTTTTGTCAAAGATGAAGTGTCCCTTACCAACAACTTGGGAGGTGCAGCTGAACTTTAGCAGAAACAATTGTAATGCCCATTATAGCATTTCAACTCAAATGGAAATGAAGTTTCTTCCTTTCTTTATAAAAATTTCTTTATACTTATATGTCTTTATAATTCATTCAAATGATGAATTTTCAGAACCTTTGCATGTTAAATTTTTAAACTCCCAGAGCACATGCTGTTTATAAAGTGTATATCATCTCTGAACCCAGTGGTTAAAGCCTGGTTCCTCCTGCAGCCAAAAGCAAAGCTGCTGATTGATTGTGGCAATACTAGGATTTCACCCGGCCAGCTTCACTGACAAGCACATTTCTCCATTCACTCCTAGCCTCTTTTTAGCTTTTCTCCTCCAGAAATTCAGTTGTTTGACATTATTTTTTCCTCAGTCAGCTCTTCTCTGTTCTGCTGGAGGACAGCTGAGTCCAAGAGATCAAAAGACTCCTAGACTCTTAATCTACCCTTACTTAGAGGGGTTTGTTTTGTTTTGTTGTTTGCTTGCTTTTCTACTGAAAGCTGTTTCACTGCTCTACTTACCCTGTGTGAGAAAGTCTGAGTAGAAATAATCCTGAAAAGACTGTCTCTGCAATATCTGTGATCAGAGGCATTCTTTCACTAAGCTAATGGAAAGCTATTGTTCAGTGAGAACGGGTTTTAGGATTCACACTGCTGAACCCATCAGGATGTCACTTTCTTAGCCCTGGGTGCAGTGCAAGCAGGCACATGGGAACAGTCTACTTCAGAAATCTTGCCTGTCTAGTCTACCAGTTTAGGTATTAGGCTGTAATATTAGTTTATTATGTGTCTTACAGACCGAGTTTTAGAAGCTTTTAAGGGTTAAGACGAGAAAGACTCAGTTTTTTCCCAATCTGGGTAACTACATTGCAACCAGCATGTTATTAAGGCTGTAAACACAAGTAAAGAGCAATTAAACTGTGAAGTGCTTGGTAACCACAGTGGATGTGTGCTTAAGGTTAAAGTTCGAATCCATCCTCCTGTTCCTAAGTAAAATCAGAATAAATTTAAGAACCTCCTAGGACTTCATATTGTTTCAAGAGGCTCATCTACTAACTTTAATCCATATTTCCTACGTGTTCAAATCAATGGGGGTCTAATGACTTTGGGGGATCCCATGATTCTTTGGAGATTGCTGTCTCTTTAGAAGTAGCTGCCCTTCAACATGCACTTTACAAAAAAGCTCTAGGCAATAGTTTGTTGCTTAGACTTCTTGTCTCAACTCTACTTGCTTAGCCTGCAGTGGTCCAATGTTTGATTTGAACGTAATACTAAATACCAGATCTCTGTTTATTTTGGACTCTTGATTTATTTTTAGTCAGCACTACACTGTCACTTGCAAATATGGAGGTATGCATAAATCGTCTCTCTTCAGCCATATAGTTCCAAAAAGATAAAATAAGTGTCTGTTTTCTGATATCCTAAAACCAAAATACATAATCACAAATGTCTTGCTGTATGTTGAGTTGCATGACAGGTCAGTGCTGTGATGAGTCACAGGTACCTGACACATTGATGTGCTGCATGTCATGGCTATATTTTGGGGTCCTGCATGGAAATTTTCAAGACCTTCTCAGAGTTTTGGTGTTCCTCATGATTTATTTTAGTCCAGTGTGCGTTTGCCATTTCTGAAGCACTAGATTAAGGGTTCATAACATTTCATATTCCTTATTATAAACATCAGCGTTTTGCCTTTGTCCATTTGAAATGGGACTTTTGTTTCTAGTTCTCTGCTTTTCTGCACATTTGTCCTCTCTAGCCCTCAGGTATGAGGTATGAGGGCTAGAGTCCTATGCAGTGTGTGATGCTTAACCTAGTCAGACTTGGCTTTTCAAGTTATATTTGTTTTTCTTTGGCAGCAAAATCTAGTTTACAATGTGACAGACTCTGGTATTGTCTAGGCAGGTATAAATTCCATGTTTCCCTTAGTATTTTAACAGGAACAGGACTAAGGTAAGTAAGTCTAGCTTTGAATAAATTCACACATGAGTGAGTGAAGCAGACATTATCATCTGACCAAGACTGGTGTGTCAGTCTGCCTTTGCTCCCGTTTGTAGGACACTGAAAGAGGGAAGTGCAGTGGTTGGAAACATTGCCTGTTAATCAACTGCAAAGATTGAGTTCCAAGACTAGCAACTGTGTGGTTGACTTTTTGCAGCAGGTTATCTGAGACATGATGGTTAAGGATGCAATCTCATTAATGAGTAATGCCTGTGCAAGTTTATTTTAAGTACCTTCCTCCTTACAAGAGCTCAAGGACAGACAGATTTCACCTAAAGACAGTGAAAAACACCAGCTTTTTGTAATGTTCTCCCAATCTGTGGTTTAGCTGAAAGCTTAGTTTCCAATTTCACTTTGATTTTTTTCTTTGTCACTACTGCAGGCAGCTGACTTCCCTGATGGGAGGCAGAAAGCTGCAAACAGGGAAACACCTTTCTCTGTGTTGGTTGATTTTTCGTCAAGGGGATATTTCCTAGGATAGGAAACTGTCAAAGGAAGTGAGTATTTTAGGAGGATGGGAGGAAATGGAAAAAGAGGGAGTCCTAGATCATTTGCCAACAGCATTGCAGCTGCTCCAGCCCTTGCACAGTTAAGATTTTAGAATGGAGGAGAAGCCAAAACTTTAATCAATCAAACAAGTTGGGGAAAAAACTCTGCCAAAAGTGAGCTATGGTCTTGGTGACATTAGTGAAAAGAAGTTGAGATGTGAGGAGGAGGACAGCTCTATCCTCACAAGGGGAGCATAAACTGGTAAATACTGGGAGAGCGGCTCTTTCCTCAATGAGAGCGGGAGAGTGCCCCAGAAAATCCTCCCAACTGCTGGGGTTGCCCCTGTTTAAAAAAGCACTTGCACTCACATAAAAGCTGTGTGTATTTATAAACACATGTGTT